TCTGGAAAGACAAAAGGCAGGAAATCAGTCACAAGCAAGACGCAGAGGAAGCAAGATGAGAATGCCTTACTGAGGAAAGGTACCAAGTCACATGGTAAACACAGACAAGAATTATGGGTGAATTTAAGTCATAAGTACTAGTTAGCAATAAGCCTAAACAATAGGCCAAATGATTTGTAAATAGTATAAACTTTTGTGTGTTTAGTTGGGACTGAATGGCTGCAGGATTGGGTGGGATAGAAACTTTTTTTCTATAAATGGCACCCAGTGTTCAGCAACTACATCCACATAAAACCAAAGAGAGATTGGGAAGGGATTCTAGACACAAAAGAACAGAGTCAAGCTTGGCTTCTTGGTAGGAGCATTTTCTTGGGTGGGCTCTGTTTGCAGTTCCTTTACGAGAGGCTTCCTGCTGGGCAGTGGTGGCAGAGGCCTTTAATCCCAGCACTTGGGAGGCAAAGGCAGGCAGATCTATGTGAGTTCAAAGCCAGCCTGGTCTACAAGAGCTAGCTCCAGGACAAGCTCCAAAGCCACAGAGAAACCCTCTCTCCAAAAACCAAAAACCAAAACCAAGCAAGCAAGCAAAGACAAACAAACAAACAAAAACCCAAAACAAAACAAACAAACAAATCCAAAAGATGCTTCCTTACTCAGTGTTAGTGGCAAAAACCACATCACTCTTTTAAGCTTAAACAGTGTTTATGAGCAGCTGGCAGCATGCTCCTCGGTGGTGGCATGGACCTAGAAGCTCCAGAGAGTTGTGGCAATAAACATGGCTATTTTCAGTACCTCCACCATGAAACTAGACTCTCAGGAAGACAAGGAATGAGGTGGAGACAGCCTTCAAAGCTGCAGCTTTAATCCTAGCCACATCATTTGGCAGATTAAAGACTTATATGCTCAGAAAAAGACAGATATATACAGTAAAGACAGATTTAGACAGAAAAAAAAAACCCCAGTGGTTTACAATGTAGGCTTGGAAGTAAAAAGAAAAAGAATAGAGAAAGTCCTTTAAAAAGAAATAGAGTAGCTGGGAGTGGTGGTATATGCCTTTAATCACAGCACTTGGGAGGCAGAGACAGGTGGATCTTTGTGAGTTGAAGGTTAGCCTGGTTTACAAAGTGAAGTTCAGGACATCCCAAGATACCTAGAGAAACCCTGTCTTAAAAAAAAAAAAAACAAAAATTAAAATTAATAATAAAAGAAATAGAGTTAAACAAAAAAGGCACATGAGGATGGAAAACACAGAAAATCTGGATACTGTATTTGATATTGTGTTGTTTGAATTGCTTCACTGCTGTGGAAGGAGCAACAGCTGCTAAAAGACATTTGATTATAAATGCTGCTGGATAAACCCAACCTATATATTTTGAAAATGACTTGACTTAAAAATATAAGTCATAGACATGTTGTTTGGAGAAGAGGTTTTGCTTTTGTTTCCACAGGAAATGAGAGGCTGTGGATTCATTCTGGGTTAAGAAAAATCAGGTTTGATTGAGGAAAATCCCCCTGAAAAATCTCTGATAGGAACAGATGGCTCAGATGATCCAAAATCTCCGAGTGCTTCTGTTGCAGTTTCGTCTGAGTTTACATCCAGAATAGCTTCAAGGTAAATGGTTGAGGTGTTACAGCCTCATAGAATACTCCAGTCAGGATTTGATCATAATCCTAAATTTTCTCAGGGTCCTCCAAAGATCACCAGCACTCCCAATCAGGAAGAGGTAGCCTAAAAAACTAAGCCCATACTCCCAAAAAATAGATTGTGGATGTTTGTTTTTGTTTAGCATGTTGATTACTAGTTGTTATGAATAATGATCAAGAAAAATGTTAAACAAAGGAGATTAGATTTAGGGTTCTTGTTCTGAAAAGAAAAAAGGGGGAAATGCTGTGGGATAATGTTCTTGTACACTGTAAATATTTGTCACTTGTATTGACTTAATAAAATGCTAACTGGCCAATAGCCAGACAGGAAGTATAGGCAGGGAAAACAGACCAGGAGAATTCTTGGAAGAGGAAATGCAGAGAGTCAGCCATCAGCAAGACACAGAGGAAGCAAGATGAGAAGGCCCCACTGAGAAAAAGTACCAAGCCACATGGCTAAATATAGACAAGAATTATGGGTGAATTTAAGTCATATGAGCTAGTTAGTAATAAGTCTGAGCAATACACCAAACAGTTTATAACTAATATAAACCTCTGTGTGTTTATTTGGGACCGAATGACTGAGGGACTGGGTGGGCAAGAAACTTCTTTCTACATATTATAGCTTTCAGCTTAGTATTTTTTATGGGACTTCTGAGTGTGTCAACAAGTGGGTCTCTGATTCTTGAATGTGCTTTTGAGGATCCTTTCCTTTAGCTGCCTTGCCTTGTCCAGCCCCGACATGATGGATTTTTTTTTATCTTATTATGCTTTATTTTACCAAAAAAAGAATAAAAAGAAATGCATTTAAATAAGAAAAGAAGTTTAAGTAGATTATTTATTTCAATTTACTTACTGATTGCTGACATCTAGAAATTCTACTAGTTATTAAAATAGAATAGTGTAAGAGATTAATACAGGTTTTCCTAAACAATTTTTGTCTGATAGGTGAGCTAGATAAGCAACCATAAAATATCTTACATTAGTTTATCTTCTGGTGCTATGATAAAATGTCTGGTTTAAGAAGCTTAGGGGAGAGAAGGTTTATATTGGTTTTATAGTTCCAAAAGGAGAACATCCACCATGGTTTGGAAAAGATGACAACAATTAGGAAGGCTTGACATCAGGAGCAGAAAGATTGCTGATAACATTGCATCCACATTCATAAAGCAGAGAGAACAGAAAGTGGAGTCAGGCTATAAAACCTTCAAGCCCTCCCTTAATGGTGTACTTCCTCCAACAAGGCTTCGTGTCCTAAAGGTATATACCATTTCCAAAACTAAAAATTATATGTATTCCCTGCTAAAATCACTACCTGAATAATGAACAAATATTGTCTCATGATCTTTTTTAATCTTTTCTTTCCCCATACCAGCTCAAACAACATAATGACCATGTTTCAATCACTTATAATGTGATATTTGATCATATAGAAATAGTGTTTGAAATTTACTTAGTTATTGAGACTCATTTATACATTTATCATTAGTATGTTATTTTAATATTTTAATAGTAGTACTTACTATGTGAATATGTGATATGCTTATTTATTCATCTGTTTTTGTACCCAATGAGTGTCTTCCTGTTTGGGGTTATTTAAAATAAAATGAAAATAAATTTTCATATATGAGGTTGTGAGGACATATTCTCTTGTTTCTTCTCCATTAGGTTGGAATAGTTATCTGGTACAAGATTTTTGATGTTGATGTGCTGTGAGACAATGGTCTTATACCCTGTAAAGATTTGTCACTTGTGTTGGTTTAATAAAATGCTCATTAGCCAGTAGTCGGGCAGGAAGAATAGAGGGGATGACCAAAACAGGAGAATTCTGGGAAGAGGAAAGGCTCAGTCTGCAGTCATCAACCCAGACACAGAGGAAGCAAGATGAGAATGCCTCACTGATAAAAGGTACCAAGCCACATGGCTAACACAGACAAGAATTATGGGTTACTTTAAGGTGTAAGAGTTAATAAGAAGCCTGTGCTAAGAGGCCAACCAGTTTATAACTAATGTAGACCTCTGTGTATTTCTTTTGGGACTGAATGGCTACGGGATTGGGCAGGAAAGAAACCTCTGTCAACATTGATGTGTGGAAATTACTCAGCTATTATCCATAGCATTTATACTATTTTGCATTCTCACAGAGAGTGTTTGGGATTTTTAGTTGACCCACATACTCACTTAGATGGTTTTATTGAGACTGGCCCCCCTGGGTTCATATATCTGAGAACCTTGTCCCTAGTATATTGAGCTATTTTGGAAAGGTTGGCAACTGTGGCCTTATTTGGAGGAGGTGTGTGTCGCTGAGTGTGAACTTTGTTCCATCTTCCTGTCTTCTTCCTTGGATCAATGTGTAAGCTCTCAGTTATTTCTCCTATCATGACTTTGCTTTGCCATCATGGACTGACCCTGGCCCTCAGAAACTGGAAGTCTAAATGAGACACTTTCTTTGATAAGTTGCCTTGGTCATGGTGTCATACCACAACTGAAAATTAACTAATGCAGTCATTGTCTTACTTAGGTTCCTGTTGGTGTGCTAAGATTCCAGAAGCAACTGAGCCCCATCCTAGCAACCTGTGGAGGAAATGATTTATTCCATTTCCACTTTCATGTCCCAGTCTATCCTCAAAGAAGTCAGGGCAAGAACTCAAGACTGGAGCCTGGAAGTAGAACTGGAGCAGATGCCATGGAGGAATGCTGCTTCCTGGTTTGATTCTGGTGATTTGTTCAACCTGATTTGCTACAGCACATGGTGGCACTGGCTACAATGAGTTAACTGAAGCAGATGCCATGGAGGAATGCTGCTTCCTGGTTTTACTCTTGTGATTTGTTCAACCTGATTTGATACAGCACATGGTGGCACTGGCTACAATGAGTTAAACCCTATCACATTAATCAGCAATCATGAAAATGCCCTATGGGCTTGCCTGCAGACCGATTTTAGGAATGCATTTTCTTAATTGAATGTCTGTCTTATAAAATGACTCTAATTTGTCAATTTGACATAAAAAACCAACCATCACACTTACCAACACTTGATATAGTATCTGTGTATATTCTATTATTATAATATAATGTCGGTGTATATTCTATTATTATAACAAAATTAAACTAAATATAAAGATCTATGTGCTTATCTTTTAATGAAGTGTCTTTTCAAATGTCTTCTTACATATATTCTATGGTGCTACATATTTTACCATTTTATTAGCTTTTCTTAAAATATTCTAGATGTAGGTTCTTTGTCAGTTACATATTTATTAACTGCCCCCTCCTTTTGAAACCTTATGTTGTCTTTTGGAAAAAAAAAGTTAAAACTACTGATGGTCTAGGATGGAAAACAGGCTAAGAGCACTTACTGTTCTTGCAGAAGAACATCCAGTTTGCCTGTGGACCACTTCACAACTCTCTATACCTACAGCTCTGGGGCAATCCAGTGCCCTCTTCTGGTCTCCACATGCAGCAACATTCGTAAGCACATATCCACACAGACACATAGGCACACCTATAAGCAACAAAAGAATGCTGATGAACATCTAGGTTGTTTTCACATATTGATACTAATAATAGTTCTTTACATAACAGTGATGTGCAAGAGTCTATGTGACATGTTGATTTGGGTCCTTTGAGTAAATACTCTGGCATAAAATAGCTGGGGTATATGGTAGATCTAATTTTAGAATTTTGGGGAATCACCATACTGAATCCCAAACTGGTTGACTAGTTTACATTCCCAGCATCATTATATAAAGCTATCTAATATATAAAGGAACATGCCATCTGTAGGAAGGTGCATGAAAGTGGGTATTAAGTCAGGCTCAGGCACATATCGTATGTCTTCTCTCATTTGTGGTTCCTAGATTGCAAATATGTTTATAAAGTCATCTATGTACATATGACATGAGAGTAGAAACAAATTGTTTATGGAACAAAGGCAGTAATAGGAAGAGGGATGCATGGATTATATTCATTACTGATTAACTCTGAGTCACCCATGCATCAGTGTCACATTAAGGAAAGATATGAGATCACTTCCCCTTGGAGTCATTTAACCAAGAGTGAGTCCAGATTTGAATTCTCAATCTCATGTTTCTGTTCCCTGTGTGAGCCTGACTCTGAGTCTACCGTTAGGCCCCCTTGTGACTCTGTTTGTCCTTTTGTGTCTGTCTTGTGTGTGTCTGTATGTGCTATGTGCCTGTCCCTAACAAGAGCTTTTGCTCTCTTTTTATTGAATAGCATAGGAAGCATCACTTGAGGGAAGGAACAGGGTACGTTACAGAAACCTTTAACAGAGTTTTACAGGGGATTAACTCGCTGGTTTCAATAGATCTCAAATGACTCAGAAAGCAAACATCATTGTTTATCGAGCAATATCCATAAATGATTGCTTTCATCCTTTCTGGTAAAGAGATGTTTCAGTTTCTGTATTTGCTGTTTTTAGCAATTGATGTACATGTATTACTCTGGGTCAGGGGCACAGAGGAGTAAGATTATGGCTATACATTAGCTTAGGTTGTAAAAGCTGATTACATGGGAAAGACAAGGCAAGTAAGGTTAGTTTTTACTTTGTTCTCTTAACGGAAGGTGTAACAAATAGTTTGAGTATTCAGTATGCTAGCAATTTTAAGTGAGTTCAAGATGTATTAACTCTGGCTGTGAGGGCCAGCAAAAGTTCCAGTCTCTTAGAATGTAAATTATACTTTCAGAATACTGTACTGCCACAGGGGAAGGAAGGGGAGAGTACAGAAGTGCTAGTAGGCGTGTGCTCCAAGTTCGTTATATATTTTATTAACATGTTTACCAGTACCATATACAATGTGTACCTACTAATGGGGAGGAGTAGTTCAATATGCAATCTAACTTACTTATGTATCTGAATCTATAGTGATTTGAAGACAGCTTTGCAATACTAATTCTTCATTTTGCGATTATGGTGAATGCCCCACCTTTTCTGCATGCACGAAAACTTAATCTCCAGAATAGAGACTGGCATGAGAGCTCTGCCCTCATGAATTAACATGACTTAAAAGGTTTGAGTGGAAATAATTTAGGACTTTTACAAAAACCGTTCTGTCCCTTATCATAAGAGGTATCTCTTCCTCTGTGTAAGAATGGGGGATGGGAATGGGCCCTTACTGGACATTGAATGCCAACACTTCCATTTTGGTTTTCCCACACTCTAGAAATGTGAGAAATAAAATTATATAGTTAATAAGTTATCCAGATTGGAGAGCCTCGTTATCCATAGCAGAGGGTCTGAGACGTCAGAGAACAATTACTGTCGAGTGAAATCTAACCAATGCTTGGCCTTTATGTTATAAGTATAAGAATGGTATGGTATAAGAATGTTTACATCCTAAGCTTCTAAAAATGCAGAAAAGGTGAAAGTACAAATGATTATTTGTATTAATAACTGGCCTTCCTTTCCCCTAGCTTCTCTGACGCCTATATAATCAGATGTGTTGGCTACTTTGGCCGTTTGGTCTTCTGGCCTGCTCATGGCCTCTTGGTCTGCAGCTCCTCTCTTAGCTACCACCCTGGCACTCAGCCCTGTGACCCCCCCCCCCCATGGCCCTGTCTGCAGGTCTGTGTAGCGCACCACGTCCATCTGTGCTCTATGTACTACCATATAGTTCGTGAAGCGGGCAAGGGGCTGGAGATTAAAACACACAAAGACTCACAAAGACACAGGTCATCCTTGAATTCCCCAAGAATGCCCCCCTTATTGTGTCCATGGGCTGCTTACATAGGGATCCTTAACTGATAATCACACCACAGCCAAACCCACCAGAAGCCACTCTCCCTGCCGTCAGGAACTCCCCAGGGCCTCATGCTCAGAGCAGCTGCAAGCATTACAAGTTGTTTACCAGAAATTCAGAACCTGGGGGTTCACAGCTCCCAACCGGCCTGGTTCAGTCTGGACACTTCCAGACACCTCTGGCTCTTCTTTCCTCTCACATCTAAAATAAACCTTATCCTCAACCTCAGCTGGGAGCCGTCATGTCTTCATTTTTTTTTTTCATTCAGTTGTGGGGACTGGCAAGTGTAAAATCCACAAGACAGTCAAATAAGCTTGAAATTTAGGCAAGAGTTAATGATCCAGTCTTCACGTTGCATTGTTCTGGGGTGCAAACAGAGGCGGGGCTTCCCTTCGAAGCCTTAGGGAGGAACTGCTTATTTGGATGATGCCAGTCTTTGGCCCCTGATAGGGCAGGGGGCAGCACACTACTAGGGAATTATCCACATCAGTCTGCTCAGCACATCCACAAGGCACCGCCATTGCAATGCCTACCCATACTAGGGGAAACAAAGTCGAGGCATTCTACTACGTGCTCCCCCTGGGTGTTTCCTCGCCTCATGGCTTCTAATGAGAGGCTAGCCTTTTCCAGATGCCCAGTGACGCGTGAGTTATGAAGAGGGCGGTGTTACAGGTGGAGAGGGGATGTCCATTTCCTTTGGCCATGGCCTTTGTGCCATTCTTGTTAGGTCTGTACAAACAAGATCTAGAACCTTCATCGCCAGATGGGCAACATCCGTTCCCTGGGCATTCGTTTTGTTGGAGAGGCAACACGTTAGTTAGGCACCGGGTCTGAGGCTCTAAGTGCCTTTAGAGGTTTGGCTGTCCTTTTTTATCAGCTTCCTACCTCCATGAACATTTCTTGGTCACAGTAAGTTAATTAAAAACAAACTGCACAATTTCAGGCGCGCTTACATTTTAGGTGTATTGTCAGTCCGAACGTCGCACAGCGACTTCTAGCCCGCACTTGGGGGTTTGCCCCCACGGACTGAGCAAGCTCCCGGCGGTGGCTCTTTGGTGACAAACTGGAAACACACCGGTTGTCACTGTGCCAATTCCTTCTAACTCCTCATCAGAGGCAATCTTCGCTTCCCTTCCTGCAGCTCAGTTTTTTCTGGTTCAATCAGCGAAGGACCCGAAGTCACCACTAACACTGGGTATAACGGACTCAGGACCTTGATAGGGCACCTAAGGCAGCAGAGGGAGCTGACGGAGCGCATGCGCGGGGGCTGGAGAGGCGCGCGCATGCGCTCTGGCGGCTGCCCGGGCTCGCCGGCCTCTCGCTGCGGCTAGGCGGCTGCGCGCGGCTGACGTGCCAAGCGGGCGGCGGCGGCGGGACTCCGCGAGGGGAAGGAGCGCCGCTGAGGTGGATGAGGTGGGGGGCCGGACCCGGAAGTGGGTGGGCGCGGGCGCGAGCGCGCGGGGATCGGAGCTGGCTGCCCCGAGCCGGCGCGGCGCGGGAGCCCGGGGTTTCCCGGTAATGGGCCTGTGGGGCGCTCGCCCGGACAGCCTGGGAGGGAAGGGTCACGGGCGAGCGCGGCGCCGCCGACCCGGGCCTGGGCAGGCTGCGCGGCTTGCAGTGGTCGCCCGTGCCGACCCCGCTCCCGGCGCCCCTCCTAGGGCCGCGGTGCTCTGCCCTGTGGCTTTCGGAAGGTCTGCCACTGCGGAGCTGTGCCGCGCTCGCCCGGGGAAAGCATGCTAATGGAGACTTGCTTTCCGTGGCCGCGCTGGTCGTATTGTCAGTGTCCCAGCACCCAGACCGGGACTGCAGCCCCGGCGTGTCTGCACGGTCCGCAGCCTCGGCTGGATCGCTCTCTCTGTGTTCTCTTCTTACCACCGTAGTGGTGAATCAGGCCTGGAAGGTGTGCTATGCCTTCACTTAACACTATTCTTTTGTTGGTTGTCTTCCCTAAACCCAGCCCTCCTCCTTCTCCGCCCTCGAAATCTTAGCTGCTGGTGAATGTGCCGTTGACTTTGTGATTAAGTTACAGTTTAGAAAAGATTAATCGACAGCACCTTTGCTTATTTCAGATTGCTTTGCTGTGGAGTCCTTACGTGCTTCTCACTGTTTTGCAGACCATGAAACGGTGGGGCACGCCCCTTCAAAAGCTGTTGTTCAAGACAATCTAGTTTTTGTTTCAAAAACCTCGTAAGTCACTTATGAAGTTTCCTGTTCAAAAATTGCAGTACTGCAATGAAGAAAAGGAGAAGGGTTACTTCAAATCTTGACGAGAAGATCCATCTGGGCTATCACAAAGATTCTTCAGAAGAAAATGCTGGTGTGGAGTGCGGCCAAGTGACCTATACTCAGTCGACAGACAGACCAACCCCAGAGGCTCTTCAGTGTTACCAAGACCTTCCTCCCTCTCCAGATCAGAGAAAGCTTTTGAGTTCTTTGCAGTATAATAAGAATTTGCTGAAGTATTTGAACGATGACAGGCAGAAACAGCCGTCTTTCTGCGACTTACTTATCATAGTAGAAGGAAAAGAATTTAGTGCTCATAAAGTGGTCGTTGCAGTTGGTAGTAGTTATTTTCATGCGTGTTTGAGCAAAAACCCCAGCACGGATGTCGTCACCCTGGACCACGTAACACATTCGGTTTTTCAGCATTTGCTTGAGTTTCTTTACACGTCAGAATTTTTTGTGTACAAATATGAAATACCTCTTGTTTTAGAGGCCGCGAAATTTCTGGACATTATCGATGCAGTGAAGCTGCTGAATAACGAAAACGTTGCTACTTTTCAGGCGGAGCTAACTGAGAAGTCATCTCCCGACGAAACACTAACTGAATTAACTGGAAGACTGTCAAGTAATCATCAGTGCAAATTTTGTAGTAGGCATTTCTGCTATAAAAAGTCCTTAGAGAACCATTTAGCTAAAACTCACAGGCCCCTGTTATTGGGGAAAAAACATGGGTTAAAAATGCTGGAGAGAAGTTTTTCTGCCCGAAGGTCTAAAAGGAATAGGAAGTGTCCTGTTAAGTTTGAGGACACGAGTGACGATGAACAGGAAAGTGGGGGTGGGTCAGACAATTTGAATCAAGAAAGTTTTGACAAGGAGAAGTCAGATAGGAATGATTCTGAGGATCCTGGAAGTGAGTATAATGCTGAAGACGACGAGCTAGAGGAGGAAATGTCAGATGAGGACTCTGACACCGAGCAGAGTGATAAAGATAACGATGCGGAAGAGGAACCCGAGGCTGGCGATTCTGCAGGGAGCATCCACGAAGGGTTAGCTCCCGTCATCATTCAGAACAGTAATAAGAAAATCCTGCAGTGCCCCAAATGTGATAAGACATTTGACCGAATAGGTAAGGAGAGCCTGTTTCCTCGCTCTAAACATATATTCTGTGACTGTTTTAGAGGTGATCATTAAAAACTAAACTTCAAAGGGACTTGTACGAAGAGTTCTGTAGTAGGGAAGACCTCTGATTTTCAGCACATTGTTTATCTTGTTAATTTAAATTGGTCGTGCATCACAAATCTGGTATTTACTCTTTCACGTTTTTGTCATGGTGTCTCTACAGGTTGTAGGTTCTATATTTGGGAGAAAGACTCCAGAAAAGCAGCAGTTATTGTATATAGCTTTTGACCACCAGTTTCATTTTAGAAGTGCTAGTTTTGAGTTACATGTACATTGGTTATAAAATTGTTAGGTACATTCTGCACATAAAATGATTAAAGCAGTTTAAGTAATCAGATCTTATAAAAGAAACCATGCACTTCTTTCTATATATAACTGTTTTGTCCTAGGTTACATATGCTGTTTGCATAGATCAAAATTTTGTTCATAAGGTATTTGTAATCATTTGCTATCAAAATAGGTTAGCATATAGACTTGTTTTACAGTGGAAACTTTTCTTGTTTGTTTTTACAGTATTTTTTGAATGTATTTCTAAGGATACTCTTCTCAGTTCAGTTTTTAATGATTATTAATTTTACTCTGTTTCATACACAGAAGTAACTGAACAGCTTAGTCAGTTGGAAGAGCTTATGTGTACAGAAACTTGTTAGTCCTGGCAGTAAATGTCACTGTAGCTCTATCAATGTGAGTATGTACAGAGAGCAGCTTTTTGGAGCTGAGGTACCTGGTAACATTTTATCTTAGAATATTTTATTTTTCCTACACATCTTAGACTTTGTACTCCCTGCTTATGGTATTTTACAAACTTTAATTAGCCTAATTTGACTTGGAAATCAGTGAGCAAGGGTCAGTTCACTACAGGCATTATAGGTCCAGCATGTGGGTCTCAAACTGTTCTCTTGAGTCTGTGAGGTACTTTGTTGAGGGAGGACTTTCAGTTCCATTAGGTTTGGGAAACTTAATACACAGTGACTTTTAACTTGATGCAGTTCTATAATAATACTAGAAAATATGTCTGTTAATTTTGCTTAACCTAACCTTTCTTCAAGTCACTATAAATAAGGTATCATATGAGTGCTCTTCTTAATGTCTTCAGGAAACTAGAGTTTTATACACATGAACTCAGAAAACGGTGCCTAAGATTGAAGCTGAAAAACCAAGAAGTTTGCAAAATGTCTTTTATCAAAGTCATTCCATATATTATGAGAATCAGTAGATTACCGTGTACAGTTATTTCCAACATACTTTTCAGAATGACTTTTACATTACAGTCCTTCCCTTCTGTTGCTTGACTACCTTGGGCTTGCTTACTGTTCACTCGTTCTTCTATGGCCAAGTATCTCTGTCTCTACGTGTGTCTATCTAGTACTTGTTTAAATCTACATGCTGATTCAAAAACTTGAGCTGGTGAAAGGTCATACTGGTAGGTTTTTAAATCTAGGCCTTGTGTGAGTTGTTTAACCTGTGGAGTTTTCCCCCTTCATAAGTGAAATGAGCTGATGCTGATGTGTTGTTATTATATGGATGATTATGGTGAGAATTAAATGGGATGGTTCTGCAGAACCACTTAAGTACTGCACAGAATGCAGGTATACAAGAATATTAGCTGCTCCTGGTGTTTATTAATTTAACACTGGATGCCTTTCAAGCCCTCTTAAACAGATAGGAAGTGATTCTCTGTCCACAAGTATCTGAGTACATGCAAAAATTATCATAGTATAATAAAGTTAATGTTATCAGGAGGATCAGGGAAATGATGAGTGACTTCTCGGAACTAGTAATACTGAACCTGAAACTTACAGAATAGGGTGACATTTACAAGATAGAAGGGTCAGTGTGTAAAGGTATTGAGGTATGGTATGTTCTAGAAATTGCTAAGCTGTGGTTGTCTTTCAAATAAGTAAAGAGGCATAGAAAAAATGACAGGCTCTAAGAGTAGGCAAGTAAAGGAGAGCCAGCTTTGGGATGGCTTCAGTGCTATACAGAGGAGTATGTTTTATCTGATGAACCTACTGGGGAGGGGAAGCTTGAAAAGAGAGAACGAGTTATAGCTAGATCATACTGTCTTCAGTGTGAAGAAGGAAATTGGGCAAGGAAATGAGAAAACCAAAGAGGCAAAAAGGAACATATAACAAAGGGGCGGAAGCATAGTGCTGCTTGGATTGGGAAGTTGAGTGACACTGGCAGTGAACAGTGGGATGAGGATAAAGCGGTGTTTCTGGTGGATGTCCTCAGAGCACTTGGTGACAGCAAGAATGAAGAGTGTTAGAAGATACACTGTAAATGTTTTGTCTGCTAATCGCAAAACAACTTTATAGCTGTATTCTGTCATTTTTTCATCTCATGCTTATTCCTTTTACAGGATTTTTAAAAATCCTCAAATTTTTTATTATCATTTTGCTAGTTTAACTAAATTGAGGCTGAAACTTATATTCTTTGTGCTTGGTTAGTGTGCTTTGCATATTTCAGGTCATTAACATTTGCCAGCAAGCACTCACAGACTTGAAATAAGTTTAAAGGGTGTTATCTGGATTTCCATTGGCTTGGACGGACCCTGTTAGGTTTCTTTATCATCTCCTTGTTTGGCTGCCTTAAAGAGGTAACACTCTGAGATTTCTGCTGGAACCATTAACTGTATAATACATGACCAAAAAAATTCTATTCCATTATTTGGATCTTTTATTCTTTCTGGTGCTGCAAGTAACACTCTTGATCTAGTTAAGTCTTTCCAGAGACTACCAGCTGTCCATTTCTCATCCAATTCTCATGTAAATAAGAGTCCTTTGACCTTGCTGCCCCTTATACCAAAAACCTACTGGGTAAAAAGCAAAATAAAG